AGGAATTAACTCAAATTGAAATTCATGTCACATTTCACGAAAAACAAATAGTTGTACATGAAGCGAATATCATGGGACTTAATATTTGTCTTTAAGTCTATGCATGTTATTTTCTGGCCCATGATTCCCAGAACCTTTTCTTTGTATGGTAAGCCTCAAAACATGGAATGATGCATAATGGCACTCCACAGGCACTGCACTGAATTGTTGTATCCCTCAGTTTCCTCTGCCCATTAAATTTTTGAGTTTTTGGTGCAACACTTCTCCTTGAAAGTGATTTCTTAGTATACATGGCATTGATGTTTAATTTATGATACTTACCACTTGATTCATCTTGATTCATCAACTGACACAACTCTCATTTCATCTCTGTTTTGTGCACAAAGTCAATTTTCCCAAATCAAGCGAGAGAGTAACGAAGTACAGACTCAAAATTGTGAATATCTCCAAACTCCAATGATGCATCAAAATCCTACACTTTTATATCACAGCATGAATCTCCAGGACGTACCAGCACATCACTCAGAACCTGCTACGAGAAAAGGGATGACATTACTAGTGCGTCATTCGGAGCGAAAGTGTTAACACATTCACACCCAGCGATTCCAGAACACTATGGGTTTAAAAACATAATATTATGGTTCCTGGCATCAATGGGTTAAGATGGGGCACCCAAAGTGTGGCCTACAGACTACATTGCAGAACACAAAATGTCTCTGTGAGCATCTACTTTGGGCATCCCTGTTCTGAGGTCATGTATATTTCACTGCAGAATGCATTGAGCACTTTTGATTCATGCCTTGCTTTTTTATTTGCTTCCATTTCACTTGACCTATTTGTATTAATGTCAGGTACTTCTATCTTTCAGTCCGTGCTGAAAGGGATGCACTTGCCCTGACAAAAAGCCCTTTTTGTGTTCAGCTCTTTTATTCTCTTCAGACATCCAGCTTTGTCTTCTTGGCAAGTTCCTTTTATTGTATAGGCATATTTATTGATTCTGGTTTTTAGTCTTTATGGCTGATTAGTCACATTTTTTAAAGCATGCATAGGAGGTTTTTTTTATACCACTTCAGGTACTCATAGGGCTTTGTAATCTTTTAGGTGCTGAGGGCCCAACTTGAGAGGACTTAAGAGCCACTTCTCATAAAATGGACATGTTTTGGGGGCTTGATAGTCAACTGATTTGCTATTGGAGAGTTCTTGTAATTTTTCCCTTGTTGTGGATGATGAAAAATCTAGGGGAAATAATTTTTTTGAGCTACTATATTTATTCTCCTGAGTGAAGGCAAGAAGCTTATACCTTGTAGACCTTACTTTTCATAGAGAGGTGGAAATGCCTTCATAACAGCAGAATTTCTAAATCCTTACCCCCACCACCCATAACAGCAGAATGTATTTTTAAGAAAGATCTCATGATCATACTATTATGTTATAGAGAGACTGGCTTTGAATGAAAAGAAGGACCTTCCTTACTGGGTTCTTGGGTACACTAGGGTGACCATATATATTTCAGGAAAAAAGGGACATTATCAAGAAAATGCCGAAATGTTAGTCTTAGCAATGCAAAAAACAGGGACCCAAAATGGAAAGAAAAATTCTATCCTTAAGATTTATTGACTGCTATACAGCCTTGTGTTCCCCCCAAAAACATCAAAGGATTTTAGTTCATTATATAGGTTCTTTGCATCCCCCAAAACCAGGACAATTTCCAAACTGGGACATAGCCTGAAAAACCAGAACTGTCCCATTAAAACCAGGATGTCTTGTTACAGTATTAGTATAGTAGCAATAGGAAATTCAAGCCAGCTTGTAAAATACCATGTAAGATTATATACATGTGGATTGTTCCATTGTCTATCCGTAGTCAGTGTTGATTAACTCAAAATACAGGCCTGGATACTTTGATGTTCAAGATCTTTTTGTCCTGTTTTTTATGAATAAAAACAATTTTATTTATCACTGGCAAAGCTGGAGTACCCATGACATTGACTGACAAGAAGGTGAATATCCCTGGTCCAAACATCCCTGATGGCAATCTGGGTGGAAATAACTAATGAGTTTTGTTTATGAGCCCTCGCAATAAAACTTCAGATTTTCTTTTTGATCGCCTTTCATCTCTCATTAGAAAAGGGTCCATTTTTATTATTTCCTATATGGAGTATGGACTTCTCTGGTGCTTGTTGAGGGCATGTGAAAAATACTTTCTTTCCTGGAATTTACCTGGGGGTGGGTTAGGGATAGTCATCTCAAGACTTTCACATTCTACATACTGGTTTGAGAAGGGACCGAAGAGTCATGGGAAAACTGAAAAAGTTTAAAAGAGGGTGGAAAGGCAACCTGACATACGGATGGAGTCAGTTCCTTGGGTCATGTCGGGCATGGATCATGCAGGAGGCAGAAAACTATTAAGTGGCAGATGCATTTCAAAGGATGGAGGGGTGAGGACCAGACCAATTTCCTTCACAGAAAATCTAGGTTTTGAGGAAGGGGGGGACCACTAGAGTTACGATCTAGTGATCCCTTATGATATTTATCTTTGGTTAGAACCTGCCCCTTTTATCTGCCAGGGTAAAATATTAGGTGTCACTTTCTGAAGGCATTGCATGTGCATAGTCGCATATATATAATATATTGAAAGGACTCAATATTCAACTTTGGGTTTCAATACACAATGTGACCATACAGGGTAGGGCAAGAAAGTTAACCCTTTTTCATATGGAGCCACCTTCAGAGTCCCTTTCTCCTGGAAGATAGAGTATTTAATAAATTCTCTATCACCATCTGGAATAAGAAGGGAGGGCATGCTTATTTTATGGCCTGAGTTTTTCATCTGCACTATAGGACAGTGTGCTGCATGGATCTAGGGAAGTCATAAAAAACCCACCCCCAGGCAAGGGAGACTCAAAAGGGGCCAGGGCCAGGGGCAAAGGGATACATTTCTCGCTTTGCCATTATAGATCGACCCCAGAAGCTGGCACAGAGAAAGACTAAGTCAACTCTAATGCTCTTTACCCCCAAAAGCATTAAAGCAACCTTCTTTCCAATGATAACAGAGTTTTAAAAGGACCTCTCGCATCCCTGAATCAAAATACACAGTAAATGACCCCCCCTTAATCAATCTGACATGGAAAGAGGAAATTCATGACAGCAATAAACTTTGACAAAGCCATGTAATTTTGTAGACTTCATCAACAGAGGATGTAAAGTCCATTTTTTGACATTATTCTCACTTGATATTTCAACTTTTCACCATTTCATTCATTCATGTTGCTGAGTCTAAATGAGGGGCATTCTCGATGATGTTGGTTTTGAGAAATTCTCCAAGTTATTATGAGTACTATGCATTTTAAAATTATAGGATGCAATTTTATTCATTGGCCTCTTCACTAAATCAGATGCAAATCCTAATTTGTGAAGTGAAATTTCACAATGCAATAGAAGTTTTGAGAATGGGATTAAGCTTGTAACCTATAGAAAAGCCATTATTAAAAATGCAACCAGAGCATAGAAGCAATTTCATCCACAATGAAAGGTACAAAGAACCAATTTCTTCACTGAGCTGCTTCCTGGTTGTGCAGAATTATTATTAAGTTAGTATATTAGTGCTCACCAAAGTAATGCAACTACAGAGAAGCTGTTGGCTGATTTTTAGTGGGCCTCCGTTCCTGAAAGGAAAGAGACCACTAATGGTTCCATCCTGTTTGTCCATGTGTCACACTGTTCATGTGATGATAACTAAGAAAATATTGCCCTGACCAATGCAACAGGTAGATATGAACAAGATACAGGCTGAGTTCATTTTGTGGAAAATTTGACATTTTGTCACAGAAGGGAAGGCATGAATACTTGAGTCCTTCAGGATCTGGATCACAATGCACATGTGCATACGACCCAGGCTTTGTGCATGGTGCCATGTCAGCAAATAGAGCTGTCAGTTCCCTAATTAGGTGCCAAAATATGGGTCTCCTTAAATGAAAGGAGGCCCACTGCTGGACTGGGCTTGCCCAGCTTGTTCTTTATTGTGGTACAACTTTAAAGTTATTGTATTTGAAGAACTGGGTGATATTTTTGCAAAACTTGGCAGAAGTCTTCTGTTGGGTAAAACCACCTAAGTTTAGACAATTTAGTGTTTATTGTTAAAATAGTAAGCATTCATGAGATGAACATCAGAGAGTGTTCTTCCTAATAAAAGATTAAAATGTTACTTTAGCCAATGCAGTCTTTCCTTTAGGAAAGACTGCATTGGCCATGATCATTAAGCATCATTTTGAAATATCAGGCTGAAATCAATTTCATATCAGGGATAGGAAAAAATCAAGGAAACATACAGACAAGACATTCCTTGAGAAATGCTTCCTACATAGTAGTGTTAAATCTGTGATCAATTCTTATTCCACAGGTTACTAGGGAACAGAGTATTGCTGCATGGAATGCATATGCCATGAACAGATTTCTGCCTACTTCTGCTATGTCCAAATTACATTGTGTTTGAATTTCTTTTTTTTTTTGCATCTAAGTTTGGACACCCACATAATAGGAACTATCAGAAGCTATAAAGCTTCAAAGGACATAGTCTTTATAGCACTCATAGCTACTTATATCCTGTATTGTACTCCCAGATGCTAAAAATGAAGAATTTGGCTTGTATTATTAAGGTGTGATGAGCAAATGCTGTCCTGGCTTAACTGTCCAAACATTGGTGGTTTTACCCTATTCATCTGAGACATCATAAGTGGAAATTCATGAAGTTTGGAGAAATATTTAAAAAAACAGAATAGTACCTTCCTTTTCATAGATGCTAGCCTGGAAAAAAAAACATTTGGGATCTTGTGCTGTTACCTGCAATGTCTGTTACTGGGACCATGCTTAAGTGGGTTGAGTATGAGTACTGATGGTACTCTCTTGCCCTTTCCCACTTTATGTAGTGATTCAGTTCAGTATTTTCTGATAAGTTTTTTTTTCAGATTTGGAAGATTAATCATGTGACATTTACATTTCAGGTAATGGAATATCTTATTGGAGGAGATTTGAAATCACTCCTCCAAACTTATGGATTCTTTGAAGAATCCATGGCTGCCTTTTACTCAGCAGAAGCCACTCTTGCACTGGAGTATTTGCACAGGTTAGAGCATATATCTTTTACATTGTTTTATTAATCTGTTTTAAACTATTTCAGCCCCTGTGATGCACAGTTGGGCATCATGGGCTTGATATATATAGGGTGGACATAAAGTTAGACATAAAGGTTTCATTCCATATATCTTGGGGGAATGGGATGGCATAGAAATAAATAATATGTATCATTTGAGAGGTTATCCCTGAAAATTTATTATGGCACACCATATCACACATCTCACACTTCCATATATCTGCCATCTTTGTCAACACATTTATACAACCTTCTTGTGAACTTATCCAGAACAGCCTCCAATTGGGCAGGTGTGATGTTCTGGACTGCTCTCTTAATGTATGTGCACAATATAGCCACACTTCATTTGTGGCATATACAATGTTCTTAGCATGTCCCCACAAAAAAAGTCCATAGGGGTCAGGTCTGGGGACCTGGGAGGCCACAGGTTGAAACCTCCCCATCTGATCCATTGGTTTGGTTTGGAAACTTTTCATCCAAAAAGGCACGTACAGGTCCCTAGACCTGACCACCTATGGACTTTTTTTGTGAGGACATATTTAGAAAATTGTGTATGCCACACACCCATGAAGTGTGGCTGAATTGTGCACACACATTGAGAGAGCAGTCCAGAACATCACACCTGCCCAATTGGAGGCAGTTCTGGATAAGTTCACAAGAAGGTTGCATACATGTGTTGACAAAGATGGCAGACATGGAAGTGTGAGATGTGGGACATGGTGTGCCATAATAAATTTTCAGAGATTACCTTTCAAATGATGCATATTACTTATTTCTACACCACACCATTCCCAAGATATACAGGCATGAAACTCCTCAGGCACTTTATGTCCACCCTGTATTATGTGAAAAATGAAGCATATGACCCCAATGTAAAAAAAAAAACACCTTTTTTTTACCATATTTCTATCCAAAAGAAACATTACAAGGTAATGCCCCACATAGTGGTTGTGATGGCACCCTCTCCTTGGTCTTCTTGGTCAGTAACACTGACAGGCATGTTTCAGTCTTCCTTGATAACCCAGTTTTAGCTAGTCTCTGTCAGTGTCACTGACCAAGAAGTCCAAGGGGGGTGGGGGGCTCTAACCCCCAAAAACCATCCTTTTTTGCTACACCACTGGCTACAGGTCTGAAAAGTATAAAAAAACAGCAAGTATGGTGTGACAAGCACTCCTGTGGCATTTCATCTTGATTGGGGCACTCTCATCTTGAAAGAACTGCTCCTTGCTCTGACATTCGGTTGAAGGGTAATTTGCATAGTTGCAGAATTCATGCTTTGTGGGGATATTGGAAACTGACCAAGATGAGCCTCCATTGACTTCTTTTAGTATGACAGGGGAAAGACACCAAGGTTTGCAGGTGTGGGTTCTCAGAGGGCAAGTGGGATATACACTAACTGCATCTCTTCATCTTATTGTGCTGGTAGAATATACAAGGTTGAGTCAATAACCAGGGTGAATATATATTTTTCACAGATATTATGTACTCATTACCACATACCCTCACTACTGCATCTTTGAACATGTAGTACTTGTAGTTTCCACAATATAATGTTGGCAACATCGTTGCTAGTCAGGTTTTTAAATGGTGGCCCCACTTTCAGATTGCATCACTGTTGAACAGCGAAGTGTCATTCAATTTTTACTCTCAGAAAGAGTTAAACCAAGTGATATTTAACATAGAGTGTGTGTGCAATATGGGGGACAGTTGTTTACCATAAAAAAATGCATAAATGTGTAGTGGTGTGAACTATTCAGAAACAAATCAGAAAACAGGGGCACAAGTTCAGGGATGATACAGACATTCTAAATGCAGTGCATATTAGGCTATGCTCTTCACCAAAAACTTCTTTCTCTGATGGAATCAGAAAGCTTGTCAGTTGCTGGAATAAATGTGTTGAGGTAGGAGGTGATTAAATTGAAAAATAGTGTATGTTCAGGTTTCTGGAATAAATTGTTTTGAAGCTATGCTTAAATTCACCTTATTTATTGACTCCCCTTGTAGTTTCTACTGTAGTTGGACTATTTCAAAGATTCTGTTGAATTTGCCTATCAGTAAGATGTGGGCCTTTCCTCAATATGGTAAACACAATTTCTGCATTTGTTTCATCACCTGCCGTGATAGGGAAATATGATTGAATGTCATGTTTGAGAAGGTTTCTTACTAAACATGAATTCATTAGCCTAGAGTTTACAGGTGTATTCCAGAGGTCCACTCTGTCTAAATGTTATGCCATCTTACTTCAGCAATGCTCTGGTTGGATCAATTGTTTGTAGCTATAAAATATTATTGCCCTCAGGTTATGCAGAACCAAAGTGACTGAGTCATATGCACTAGCCATTCAGACACCTTTCCAAGAAGAGAACAAAAGCAGTTCTACTTATATGAATGATAATACTGGGCTGATTTTATCTGTATGCTAGTAAAACATGCTGTCACATGCAAATAATGTGAGGAAACAATAACTGAAATAGATGTAGATTGTCAAGTCTTTTGGATCAACCCTCATATAACCCTGGCAACTGGCAATTCAACAATCTGCAAAGCAAAAAAATGTTCAGTATAGATTGACCAAATTTTTAGCAGTAGAATAATGCTTACTAATTGATATAAGGAACTGCAACTGAGCTGTGATTGATTTAGGTCCAGTGATGTTCTCCACATAAAAGCCATAGAAGCATGGGGAAATGCTGAACTCTACAGTGTAAATATTAAATTCAAATTTAATCCCTGGCAGGCTGCTACATTTTTTATGTTGCATTTTTTTTATGTTTTCAGAAATTTAAAATAAGTTCGTTTCATTTAGACATGGAATCGTGCATCGTGATGTGAAACCAGACAATATGCTTCTCTCTGACACTGGTCATGTGAAACTGACTGACTTTGGTCTTAGCAAGATAACCACTTTAAATAGTGAGCCTCTCTCATCTATTTGGATACTCTCTCCTCTCCATTATATTTTCTGCTGACTTAATGTAATTCACTGACAGGTGTTACAAGGGAAGATGTAATGCAAGCAACTCCACTGGCATGGAGACAGGGTTATCGCATGGCAAGGACTCCAGGCCAAATCCTATCTCTGGCAACACGGATTGAATTTGTAAGTTCTGCCATGTGTGTCACATACAGGGTGTCTCTAAGTCAGGAAGCATAGGATTATAATGCATGGATTATATCCTACTGGATGTCTTTGGAACCAACCCACAATTCACAAAATAGCCCTTTTCAAGGCTATCGCAAATATTGGGAAGAACCTTTACGGTAGCTCACACTGCATATGCTGCATAGACCACTGCAGCATGGTAGCTCACAACTCATACTTGTGTCCTTATCTGATTATGTAGTGTAAAAGTTATGTTTATGCATTTCCCAACATAGATTTGCCATCTTGGGCCATATTAATTTTCAGAACTTGTCTTTGAATGAACTACTCATGTGAATTTTTCCAAGATTACATTCCATAGCATGAGACACATTCAAGGAACATGGGTGCAGCCATACTAAAATCAAAAGCAATGCTTGCCACATTTTGAGGACAAAATGTTCAAGTTTCTCATATTTGGGTCATTAGTACATGATGAGTTAATCATAAAATCCAAGTCACCCAGAATGTCTAATTAATCTATTGAGTCCTTGTGACCGAAGTTTATCAAAAGTAACTGACTAGAATCTAGTTTGACTTAATGATGGACCTTACATTCTGGTTGATTTTGACCAGGTTGATTTTGCAATCAAAATGACTTTTGATATCACATTATCCTACCAGGTAGACAGGTGGGTTTCAAGCAGTCTAGACTGGAAATAATCCATCCCTCATAATCCTATGACTTGTGGTTTCCAAGACAGCCTATAGGTTTTTGTATTTCTTGGTCTTCTCTTCAGAAGGTATAATTGTTGTTGTCTTGTTGCTGTTAGGATGACTCCAAAGCCAGTCCCACATTGAATGGAACTGAAGTGTCCTGCTTTTCGTATCCCTCTGAAATTTCTTGTGAGTTGTCTCATTGCCATTTTTTCTCCTGCATGAGTAGAATATTGATAAATTGATGAATCTGAACCACTTCTCATTTGATTCTTGTTGACCTTACACTGTTCCACTCACTGAATTAAAGCAAGAGTGGGAAGATTGGTTTCATTTTTTTGGGTGGGTTTTCTAAAATTCTGAGAATTAAAATAAGTTGAAAGACAAAGTTAGACAATGCGGTAAGTCTAGTAATATAACCAAGTAAATAAGACTTGAAAATGTTCTTGCATGAAAATGTTCATTAATAATACCAAAATCATGGATGAAGTTGGTTTTTGGTGAAGTTTTCTGTAAAATAAAAGAAATAAATGAATAGTTCTCCACGAGTTCTTTAATAAAATTATGTTTCACGTGAGAATGCATATATGTTGCAGTAAATGCATTGAGGGAGAAAATTGGCTCACAATCAATTCCTTAACTTGATAATGATATACTCCTGTTCTGATTGAGCAGGTAGAAGGGAAAGGAACAACACTCTCCTGTCCTTATGCCGATGTATCAAGCAAAATATTGAGCAAAGTGATTTTAGTTACTGGTAGTAAACTACAGCATTAAAAGCACAGTTGCATGCGGCACTGGAAGATCAGTGGCCATCAAAAGAATTGAATTGCATGCTCTGCCACCTTTACTGTTTCAATATTTCAGTGTTCTATGTTTTTGTGATTGTCCAGTGTTAGCATTGATGGGTTTTTCCTAATGCCAGCTTCAGTGTCAATTCCAACCATGACAATTACATTTAGTCTAGTGACCTTCCCACATGCTCTAGGGCTAGTGGCTTTTTATTATTTGTTTCTTGCTGATGAAAGTTCCAAGGCCTTTCATACAAGTATAGACTGGGGCTAGATCATGTGCATCATCAACAAGAGGCAGACTTGTAAGACTTTTTTTATTTTTTTATATATTTTGAATGTGAATCTGGGGTCCCAAGTAAGCCAAACTAGTGTAGGCCTATATAGCTTCTTATGCTAGGCCAGGCCCAATGTTTACTGTGTTGTATGGATTGAGGCCCAGATGGAATCAGCTTTCTGATATACAGCCTTCAGGTATTGACTCCAAATCATTCCTTTACGGGTCAATATTGATATACAGGATCAATTGAGGTAGAAAAGCAAAACTAACATTGAACTTACACTGGTTTTAACTGCTATTAACACTTGGAGTAACACCTCTCCTCACACCAAAACTGTGCTGATCTCAGATGGGGATGACATTTTACATTTCTTTTAGAGTTACACTGATGTGAACATTGAGAAATTGTGGCATCATGTTAACACTGCTGACTTGGTTCAAATTTGGTGTTGAGGAATTAATTTCATGTTGCATTAAAGCCACTAACATAATAGTTCAACTCACTCAATAATATGCACTATAGATAAAAGGTGTGGATAATAAGAAACATGAGAAACCTCATGCTCATCTGTTAACCCTTATCCAGGCATGATTTTTTTTTGACACAGATGGGCAAGGCCAAACATTTTTAGAATTTTTCCCTTAAAAGCAAATCCAAACTTAAAAAATTCACTTTTGAATCTATGGATGGATATTAAATTTGAAGAATATTTTGAAAAAATTGCAGAGAATAATGAAATGAAATATACCATGGGGTGGTCCAATGGACCCTTGCCCAGATAAGGGTTAAGAAACATCTGAATCTCCATTCATTCTAAGGTAATGTCTGATATGTACTATGAGAAAAAAGAGAACAGTTTCTCAATTCTTTGTTTTTTGCCAGACTGGGAAAAAATAAAGGGAAAACACTGGTGTTGAAGTGTCATATTTGATCCACTTTCAAGACACAATTATTTTTTAGTTTCAGTATCACTTGAAGGTGTTTTAACTCACATGAAAGTAATGCTGGAGCTTCAGGTTGCCAAAGGGTTAACATATCTTCATTTCTTCTCTTTTCTCAGCACATACAGATGGGATGAGAAAAGAGACTCCAGAATCATGCCACACTAGTTGTTGGGATGATGAGAGGGATGCAAACAATAAGCCCTGCAGCATTCAAATCATTAGTTCTCCTATCACTTCCAGACCTTCTAATATGTCCTGCCTGCTCAGCCCCATTGCAGACCAGGTTAGTATGACATCAACTGATTCTGCAGACTTCCCTTGAAGTGAGAAGGTGCTGATCAGATGTCAGTTTCATGTTGGTGGCCAGTGTGAGGTTCACAATCAATCTTAGTGAAAGTGAAACTTCATAGTTTTTTCTTATTTTATAGTCTGGATTTCAAAGGCACAGGACACCCAAGTCTCTGCCAAAAAAGAGAGGTTCAGTCACTACACATGACTCTTCAAGACTCCTTGGCACACCTGATTACCTTGCCCCAGAAATTCTTCTGCATCAGCCACATGGTACAACATTATTGATGAGTTTTCTTTTTGCTCAAGCTACATTTGAAGATTCACTCTGACCATATCTTCCTCTGCCTGTTTCAGGACCACAAGTGGATTGGTGGTCTCTAGGAGTGTGTCTTTATGAGTTTCTTGTTGGATTTCCACCATTCAATGATGAAACTCCACAGGATGTCTTCCATAACATCATGAATATGAGTGAGCTCTTTATTCATGTCCATTCATACATTTTCTGCATAAGTGGCCTCTTAGCAAAAGTAGCTGACTTAAAATTATAAAGCTTGCAGGTCCAGATAGAATTTCAGCTGGAGCCATTAATAAGAATGTCTTTTCTAATTATCTTTCCATTTAGAAGAATTTTCAATAGAATTTTATCATTTGATGATTTACTGTGTGATTGGAAAAGAACGTTTGTTGTTCTCATCATTATCCTTTCTCCAGTTTGAATCTTACACAAAGCTATTGTCAGTGGTGCATGTGCAAGGCATAAGTGCCTGATGCTCTACTTTTTTGCCTTATTTTGAAATTGTTTGCTTTATTGTGATAAAGATAGAGCAGAGAATGTAACCATGCCAAATTTTGACTTATTCAACTTGGTCCAATATTATGTGTCCATTCAGTTAAAAAATGCTTTATTTCCACAAGTACAAATATCCATGCCAAATAGGAGTGACATTAGGACATAGGATAATTATAATTATGTACCTTTATTTCTTTTCCAATGACACCATCAACTCTGAGGATTATCTGACAATATTACAAATGTTATGTTCCAACCTGATGGTGCTCCTCATTTTGCTAATGGGGTATGCACATGGGTAGATAAAACATTTGGTTGCAACTGAATTGGATGTGCCAGACCTATCCCTTGGTTGGTTCAATCACCAGATTTAATTCCACTTGAATTTTTTTGTGGGGTTTTGTGAAGAACAAAGTCTATATGACAAAACCTCAAAACTTGCCAGATCTCATGCAGTGCATCATTACCATTGTTCAAGTGATGACTCCTGAAATGCTTTGCAACATCTATGCTGAAACTGAATGTCAGTTACATGCATGCATCAAGGCTGGTGGCCTTCACACAGAAGAACAATATTTGTGTATTTGTGGAAATAAACTTTTTTTTTTACAGAATGGGTACATAATTATGGACCATACTGTATATTAAAAGACAAAACAAAAGAGTTTTTATTGTCAACCAATAAAAGCAAAATGGCTCTCAAAAGTACCTCTGTGCTTAATTTGATGTTTCATTGTTTTATATGTTTATATATATGTATATAGTTAAAATATGAAAACACCTCTCTGCACCATTCAACCATGAGTGTGCAAAATTGGCACTCCATGTGATGTCCTACTTGTTATCTTCCATTTAAGTTGTTTCTTTGGGTTAATCATCATCTCTTGCAGATAGTTTTCATGAGCTTATTCTAAATGAATGGCAGATGAATCAGTCTCATTGAGAACTTTCTCAAATTTAATTCAGAATTTTCCTTGTTTTATAGAGGGGAACATGACAAACAAGAACTAAAGGGCATGGCAAAGAAGACCAATTACTTTGAATCAAAAGAATTCAGGGATAACTTACCTGGTATGACAGAAAAGAAGACATTCCATATTCTTATCAAATTTGGTGGGATGTGTCTAAAGGAGTTTTTAGATACAGACACTCAGTCATTCGTCTTCTTTGCCATGCCTTTTAGTCCTCATCTGTCATATTTTCTGTAAACAGAAGGAAATTCTGAACAAACTTTGAGAAAATTTACTGGATTGATACTCATTTATTCATCTGCCTTTCATTGGGAATAAGCTCATGAAAACCATCTGCAAGAGATGACCAACCTGAGGAATTAATTTTTATGGAAGATGAGTGTGACATGGTCTTGATGACCAAGAACAGCAGCACTTGATTGTTTCCTCCACTCCACAACCAGCAGGAGCTCTTGTCCATTCTTGATTTATAACTTCTTTTAAGTAATTGCTGATAGTATTGCTTTGTTCCAATAAATTCTAATGAAATTTTGAGAATCAGTTGGAAACACACTCTTATATATTGGGTTGGAAAGAAAATCTTGCAACACTGCGCAAATTTTTCAAATTTTTATAACTTTATTGAAATGCAATTTCAGTCTACAATGTAATGACCATTGCTGTCTATGACATGTTCCCAACGCATGGGTAACTGCTCGATGCCCTTTGCCCAGAACTCTGGCAATTGCGAAGCGAAGAAACGGCCGACATCATTTTCGAGCTGTGCTCGATCGTCGAAGGCCTTGTCCCGCGGGTGATTCTTGAGGGCCCGGAACGAGTGATAGTCGGAAGGGGCCAAGTCCAAAGAATACGCTGGATGGGGTAAAAGTTCCCAGCCCAGTTCCGAAATTGTCTGGCGAGTCATCTTCACAACACATGGACAAGCATTGTCATGCAGAAGGAGAACTTTGTCACATTTGGGATGCTCTTTTTGAATGACGCCAGCCAACTTCTGAAGTTGAGCAGCGTAGACAACGGCAGTCACTGTGGTACCGGTTGGCGTACGTTCATGTGATGGCAATTCTCCTCGTGGAAGCCACCGACTCTTGCGAGTATGGTTGATGTAGAGGACCCAGCTCTCATCTCCAGTAACGATTTCCTTCAGAAGGTCCTTCCTGTGCGGACGAAGGAGCAGTGATTCACAGACACTGACACGGCTTGCTTTGTCAGAGTCGCTGAGCCGATGAGGGACCCATGTCGAGTAAACCTTCCGATAGCCAAGGTCGTTCAGATGGTTGCTGATGGCCATATGGCTGACTCCAAGTGTAGTTGCCAATTCGCGAGTGGTGGCGTTCGGCTTTGCGTTGAGGGCGTTCCGCAGGGCTTCGTCATCGACTGTAGATGGATGTCCTGAGCGTGGTCGATCTCCGAAGGTCGTGTCGCCAGATTCCAAGCATTTCAACCATCAAGACACCGTGGAATAGTGGATGATGTTGCCCTTGAATGAAACGCAGATGTTGTCCGCGGCGGCTCTCGCAGTATCCTTGGAGGAACTCGTAGTAGATGATGGGGCGAAGAGTTGCTTGTTCGATCAGAGCCATGGCTGCCAACTAATGGCAGAAGCCGCCTTATATACCCTGAGGGCAGAAGCTTCGAGAATATTCCAGCATATACAAATGCAAAGCCCTGCCCATCATTCCTTTGAAAATTTTCATAAATAGTTTTAGAAAGTGTTGCAAGACTTTCTTTCTAACCCAATATAAATAATAGCCATAATAAAATTGCCTACATGTATCCACTCTTCAACAGGAGCAATGACCTTGAACAGTACTAACAATACAAAAAATGCACATCTCTGGGTGTGGTATGAGGAATACATGTGTTTAAGCTTTGACTGCACACAAGGGCTGTCACTTGTGCATTTTAAGTTACCTGTCTGTCACTGAGTATATTTGTTGAAGTAGACACTACAGCAATTCCTGGACCAACAGCCATTAAAGCATCCATCTTGCATGTGTGTGGTTTGAGACATTGGGTGATATAAGATTCAATATATATACAGATTGAAAAAATGCCCTCACTCTACACTACATTTCCAAAAGTATTGGGACGAAAGATGATATGACAAGCAACTATCATTCCATGTTCAACTCCGTCAGCTCCAATCCATGTGCCATACTGGCAAGCACCAACTAGCAGATCACAGACAACCATTATATACTTTTGGACAACAGTAATGCCCTCTACCACATGTCCTCTGGAACAATTTGTTATTGGTGGAGGGAGGTTTGTCCCAATACTTTTGACAATATATTGTATGTACTGTATAAATATTCCCACTACAGGGAAACAGAGATGACTGAACATGGAGACATCTTGTAGACATGCAATGCCATATTCATGCTTACAATTCCAAGATGCAGTATGCAATATACTATGGCATCCCTATCACCATTGGTGATTTTCCCCTTTTTTTGTACACATGACCAATGACAATGGCATGCTCCTGTGCTGACTCAGCTTGACCATCAATTTGCAAATGAGGAGACTGACAAGAAACTGGAAGTACATTTAGAAGAGATAATAATTAGCAATCTTCAGTATTTCTGTGTAGGATGGACCTTTTTCTCGTTGAAATGAGCATTAGGAACAAGTACTAAACTTTATATTGCAATGAGAATTACATGATGACAATGGTTGTAAATATGTTTTGAAAACATTGAGGAAGGCAGCATATATACTTTCGCACTTTGGTACCTAATGACCCATTTAAGACCTATTTTCCTCAAACATTGCAAAATTCAAGCTAAATCACTTGATACACTGCTGGAAATGACACATTAACCCAAGTCAATTGTAACTAGGGATCTGGAGTATGGCTGCTTCAGGATGACAATGCTCTGGCCCACACACATCACTATGGCCACTGACCTCATCAAGCACAGGGTGAATGTCCAACTCCAACCTGCACACTAGTCAGATCTAGCTATGTACAACTTTTTTTTTCCTGCACCTGAAGTTTCACCTGAAGGGTTTTGCTGATGTTGAGGAGGTGCAAGCTACCATGATGGCAGCACTGAAGGTAGTTGCAAAAAATGGTGCAGTGAAAAGGGTGTGACTACCCAAGGGAACTATTATGAAGGACATCATATCCTAGTACCTCATGTTTAACAGGTTTTTCCAGAAAAAATGTGCATTGGAACATTTTTACTGGCTATTGTAATTTTTCATTTGCAAGCCATTTATTCAAAGGTCATGCCATCACTTCATAAATTCACCTACCTATCATTTTTGGGCAATTGCTCTTAAGGGGATAAAAAATGAAAGAAAACATATTTGGCCCCAAAAAGAAATTACATGACTAATTTCATCTAAATCTGAGGGGTGTTGTCAATGTAAATGTCTTTTCATTCAGGAAAGGAAGCATTATTCTGCTAAAACGGATCAGTATAAATTATTTAAGGCTATATAATACAACACCAATCATTAACTAGGACAGAGAGTGAATATAGCCTGAGACTGAAGAATGCATGAGAAGACCTGCTCCTGCTTGAAAGCAATGCATAGGAAAGCCCAAGGTTGTATGTCTGGCTTCTCTGTTCCTTGTCTAGCTGGTTTCCGATCTTGCACTTTCATGGTCGAGCTCTGCTTGGATACGCATGTGTTTCATGTCGGTCCTCTTGTGTGTGAGTTAGTTTTAGTAAGTGTATCCTGAGTTGGGATTTCAGTAATATAGGTTGGCATTATTGGTATCACTTTACATGTAATATGAAAGCTACTTCTTTCGGTGAAGGTATTGTATACGGTCGGCATGAGGTAGATCTTCTGATGTTCAAAGGTCATCTTTTGCTAGTAGTTCTTTTGTTTTCGTTTTTAGTTCTGCAAGTCATGGGAGTTAGAGTTCAAGTTGCTTGATTTGAAAGATTATCTAGTGAATTCACAGCTTCTTCAACCATTCAAAGAAGGTGACCATAGCTAGAGGCTGAACATGGGAGATATATGGAGGATTGATTGCAACCTCGGTCCTTGAGAGCCAGTACCCCGCTTGGTTGCTGTGTATGATCATGGAGGTGACCCTCACCAGACTGGGTTATTGGTACTCTTGGGTTGACTCTACTGAATTGGCTAGAGCTCCAAATTTTAGAAGTGAACCTGATATGCATGGGGTCGTTGGGTGGTGCATCACATACGAGCTAACTGGTGCTGTGCTGGCACTTTAGGGGCCTGAAAGGCAGCAGGCCAGTACTGGCAAGTGGGACATGTACCTGGTGGTCCACAACCCCACAACCTGGTAAAGGTGGTGGGCCACTACCTACTTGTACATGCTACTTGGGACTGAAAATAGTTCAGTGCTACTAATTTGCTGCTTTTTTCCTTTAGATCAGGAAATATAGGGTTGCCCATTCACAAAAGAAGATTCAATCCAGCCCTTGTGAAAAGAAGAATCAATCAAGCTCTTGCACAAAAGAAATTCAATCAAGTTCCTTCTCCAACTGAGGACGGACCACCAAGCTGTTCTTTCAACTGCTTGAACCAAACCTAACAGTCTGTCCTCACAAAGACTGATCATTGAAAAGTTTGGACTGGAATTTTTTGCTTGAAAGCTTTCATAGTATATGCATAAAATCAGTGAACAACTGACTGACTTGGGAAACTAAAAGAATAGCCTTCTTGTTTGCGACAAAAGTCCAAAATTGATTGAGGCTATCTTCAGAAAAACTTCATTGGTTTCAAGATGGTTTACAGCTTTATCACTAGGTTCCATCATCACCACCTTGGAAATTTTGGCTGCAGTCTTGGTTTTATTGCAAGCATAGCCTTTTCTAAGTACATGCAAAAAAGGCAAAGTATGGAGGATCTGCAGAAAAGAAATAATTCAGTTTCAGTGCCAGAGAAATGAAACTATTGCCAAAGTTTACAGTCTTTGGTGTTGGAAAAATAAATTATATTAAAAGATCAGGGAATCAAACTTTCAAAGGTATAGCCGCATGAAATTTATCGCTTGTCAAAGATCATGACAAACTGCAAGAAATCATAGAAAAGACCTCGCTGACTATTGTCACATTTTTGGAGACAGGCCAATTCTTTTGCAATGTTGAAAACTTCTTTAGTCTTGTGGAGTTTGCATGCATGTACAGGGTGGTGCACAAAAGTTTCACATTTCATTAACCTCTATTTTCATTATTTATGATGTTAGAAAATTAAATGACATGTCATCTAATAGACAAACTCAAAAAAAATTTTTTCCCGAAAGAGTCTGTCAAGAGTGTTCACCATTCCTTTGTCATCTGTCTGTAATATACAGCAGTGTTTTCAATAACCTTGTTGAGGGTCTTCTGTCTGTGCCTCTGAACCCTGTAACCAAAGAACATTCTAGTTCATTAATGGTGTGTGCATTTGTGGAGAACACCTTTTCATTAAGGAACTCTCCTTTTTAAAAATAAAATCTGGCAGTCTGGAGATGGTGCTAGCCATGGGGGTGTCCCCTCTCGTATTGATAATGCTTTAACTTCAAACTTAATGACATTCTTAACCATTGGATTAAATGAAACTTGACAAAGCATATGGAATCAAAGGAAAACGATCAAGAACACTTCTTTCACACCACTCTTCATAATTTGAAAATGCCTAATGTCTATAATCTATCAAGAATAAATGCCACCTTCATGAATCTTAGAAAAATCATGAATATATCCTTTTAGAATTCTGCAATGTATCACTATGACATCGAGATTTTGGTCTCAGCGATGATCTAACTGTGGAGCAGTATTTCCAACTGGTTCTATGGTTGACCAGAAGACCTTCTCATAAAGGTCAGATAAAGTTATCCCAGGAAGGCAATATTTTGCTCTTTGTCTTTATGACCCTGCACTCAGAGCAAGAAGCATACTCATAGATAAATATGATTCTGGGAGAAGGATGGTACCCATTACAACTGTAATGTATGACAGAGAGGTACATAGTGTTGCCACACCAGCAGAAGGAAAACTCCCATGGGAGTAGTGCCTCATTTCCAAGTCAATATGGTATCTTATATGTCCAGGCACACAATCCTAGTACAACGCTTATTTTCCTAGTTTCAGCACGTGAATTCGTGTAAGGAATGAATTTGGTTAGACTTCAGCATTGTGCAGTGATGAAAAATTTCCTTGCTTAGGAGTAATGTGAGAATGGTAACAAAACTGCCATGTCAACAGTTTGTGGCACTATTATTAATGAATCATGTTTCATAGCTAGATTAATATTTTTTAGGCATAGGCATAACCCAAGTACTTGTCCCATGATCACAGACTTTGCATCAGAGCATCAAATTATTCTCAGACTATTAGCCAGGACCATGATTGACCTTGCACAAATCTAAAGTTCTAAAGCTGTTACTTAGATCTTGAACCTTAACTTTGAAAGTAGTTTGAGCATTTGCTAAAATGTTTTCATACACAATAGGTGCCACAGTCTAGGTGTTTGGCAGGCTGCATGAACAAAACTTAAAAATTGAACTGGCTCTTTGGTTTTAGTGCTGGGGGATAAATGACCACAGTTATGAGCTCTATAAAAATATTTTAATTCACTGCATTAAAAAAATTAGTGGTCAATAATGGTCAATTAAAAGGTGGTCAATTGACTGCCCCATCCCTAGATGTAATACAGTTCTCTAAATTCACACATGAATGGCTTTCAATCATTTTACCTTTTTTTTTCTTCACATGCTCTGTTTTTTTTTGAGCTTTTTTGGTAAGGTTTGCTGTGCTTTATGAACAAGAGATGCACAGCCTGTTATTTTAAGCTTTTTTTTTGCAGAATAATGCAATTAACTAATAAGTTTGTTGTAACCCATGAATCCATACTACCATAGTAAGTCAATAAGTGTTGGAGTGGAGGAAGAGGTGTTTCCCTTCTTTTGTGTCATGATTTGAAGACAGTGAAACTATTCCTCACAGCAGGAATATTTTATTGGGGTGTCACACTAAGGACAGTTTGAAAGACTAATTCTAAGTCTAGAGAATTTTGGACAGGAAGCTAACAGTTCTCTCTCTCTCGATACAAACTTCAAATTATTTGCTGTTTTTGAATAGGGATACTTCATAATGGAATATATTTCCGTGATAAACTTCAGAGGGGGAAATTGCCCTCAGTATCTTCATTTGATATTACCTGGTGGACTTTTTGTAGAGGGTGAAAGGACATTAGACCATGCATAGCAAAGTCATGCAGTGCTCCTAAAGACAGAAGTCATGTGACACAAGAATTAAATCTTTCTCCAATTCTGTTGGAGCAGACATAGCTAGTATGTTACAAATTCATATTGGGATCTGTAGTGTGTATGCCTTTCCAAGCAAGAATATCAGCAACTCAAGAGCCTTCAGTTATGTTTCAAGTAGATTATCAAAAACTGGAAAAACCACAATTAGATGTGAACCTTGTTGTATTGTTAACCTTGTCGTCCACTGGCCATTTTAGGCAACATGAGTAAGTTCCACCACTCGGTAACCGGTTCACCTACATAAGCAATTGAATCTGAATTGTAGGTCATTCTACTACACCCTAGAGGGAAGCAGCTCGTCGTTGGCGCGGAAGGAGGCTTACAAGAGAAACGTGACCTATTACTATTCCTGCATGATTAGTTGATTTATGATCCACAGTTGTAGCGAACCTCCGAGGGGCACAGGAAATGTGGCTAGAATGCTCGCTACATGTGGGGATTAGATCCGAGGTGGTCTGTTTATAATTGGAAATGTTGCGTGTTCCGAGTGCCAATTGAGCAAGTCTTACTCTCTTTCGATCTGCTGACTCCAAGCTGAGAAGAGAGGTATGTCCTTAAATCAACGTTAACAACTGTGCATGATTTATTAGATAATCAAGGGGGAAAGTATGGAGGAAACAATAGGGAAAACAGTCATGTTCATAAGGGGCTCTCACGCACAACTCGTCCAGATTCGTTGACGGTCGTAACCACTGACTCCTGTCAGCCGATTGTCAGCTCAGGATGGCCTCACTACAGTCCACTGTTCTGTCCGGCTCGCGACACACATACTACCCACTGAGTTGACCGGCTGCCGGAACGGGACAGAAAGTGTCCACTTTCCTGTCCGACTGGAGGTTCGGGACACACCGCGTGTCCACTGACGTTTTCGGGGGAGGTTACAACTCTATGTTCTTTGACGAGCAGGCTAGGGATATGGAGTGTGGCGAGGACGACAATGCTCAGACTCCCGCGTCACTGTGGCGACCAACCTCATCAAGCACAATGTGAATGTCCATCTCCAACCTGCATATTTTTCAGACCTAGCAATGTGCAACTTTTTTCCTTTCCTGTACCCTATGTAAGAACAAAGTATATTTTTTCCCGCAAACCTGAGGCGACAAATCGGAATTTCCTCGGAAGGATATGCAAGCGAATAAAGCGGGCTCGGCCAGCCCCGCCTGCCTGGGGCCAGCCTTTCTCTGGCCACTATTTTAACAGGTACTCCCCAATCCACATACTTCTTATATGTGGTCCATTATGCTACTCCCCTGAGAACAGCTGACCATGCTTATCCATGACTCTAGGAAGGACTTGAATTCAGAATTATTTGAATACAGCCAAAGGTTTTTTTTTTTTTAGGGTAAGCGCAGACTAAGCTAGGGCAGAAAAACATTGCATATGACTTACCAAGACCCTACAAGACCTTGCCCATTTTCTACTCTGTGGAAGACACAAAGGAAATTGAATATGTGTATAAATAGATATCCCATCATTGCTTTTGCTACGATTGTCTTGTCTGTGGCAATTAAAGGGTTAAAGGAATCATGAACAAAGTTTGCAAAGAGTTCATCACCACGGCCATTATGTTCAGAAGAATGACCTCAATTACATTCTTTGATGGCACGTTCTGCCCTTGGAGCCCTACATGCATAAGAGTGAATAAGAAACATATGGGAGAAACAGTCTAATGTTCGTAGGGGGCTCTCAACTCGTCCCAATTCGTTGGTCATATCCACTGGCTCCTGTCTGCCGACCGTCGACTCGGGACGGCCTCACTACAGTCCACTGTTCTGTCCGGTTCACGGCACACACCGCATCCATCGAGTTGACCGGCTGCCGGCACCGGACAGACAGTGTCCACTATCCTGTCAGACAAGAGGTAAGGGACACCGCTTGTCCAGTCTTGTCTTGGCTGTCATGATAATAGTTTTCAAAACATTGATGCATCGACCTGAACTATAGATAGTGCATTGATGCATGGGGGGGGGGAATGAGCTGGAGGATTCAATCTTCTCTCGCCGCGATCGGGCGGAGGTTTGACATTGTTTCTGGCCTCGATCGGAACGCGGACAATACGCATGTGGAGTGTATCAATGCATCTATCCGGCTTCCATAATCTCACGTTTGTGATCGGGGGTGCGGGGGGGAAGTTGTAACCTTTGCAACGAGTAATGAAGCCTACCATGTCTCCAACTATCGAAGATGATATCTATTCATCGATGGATGCATCAGGACAGCCCTAATTTTTTATTATGGCCATAGAAATTCAGTTGCTAAGCCCGTCCACGTCATTTTACTTTCTCCTTCTCTTCGTTCTACAAGGTCTTCTTTGGATATTGGCACTGGCATGTAGCAAACCTGCCGATGGTGCCTTACATTGGTACAGCCCTAGAATAAGCGATGCCCATGTAAAAAATTCACTTTGGGTTAACCTTAAGTAAAGAGGTAAAATGCCCCAGGGAAAGTTAAAATTTAAAAAACTTAAGCCTGCATACTACAGAGAAAGAAAGGAATATAGAGAGCGGGAATCAACTAATGTACGTTTCGACATCATGGGAGTATATAAATAGTCCACTTTCGCAGCATGCACTTGATGAGATCGAGCCGAAGACTGAAGCAGAAGAGAGAAAAAATATTCTCTCTTCCCTCCCTCGTCTTTTCCACTTCCTCCGATCCAACTTTTTTTTTTCCTTCCCGTCTTTCATATAGTCCCAGCATTTCCAGAATTTGATCGTGATAGTTGCAAGCCCATGCGGGTCGCGCCGCCTCTTCCTTTTCCCGCACTCACGGACTGTATTGTACTGTACTTGCCTCAATCCAATGGGACATTTCCCCTTTAAAATCTTTTGCCAATACATCGATGGTCAAAAAACTATCGATCTATCGTGACAGCCATAGTCTTGTCCAGCTGGTGGCTCGGAAAGCACTGCCGACATGGCAGGACGAGGGCTTGGAAAGGGAAATTGACCAGGTATGGCCGTTCAGCGTGGGAACTGGGGGACTCTTCCCCCCTAATCCTTACATCATAGTAAGCCACGAGGAAGACTCCACATCTCCCACACTCAAATTCCTAGTTGCCTTTGTGCAACAAGGTCAATAACTCTGAGGGCCCGCGTACTATCGCTTACTCGAACTCCGCCGGGTGATCCGTCTACTAAAATGAGACAACTTGTGTACATTACATAGGTACAAAAGGGTTATGGGCAAATTCGCATGCAATTCAATATCACTTGAAAAAATGTCATAGGGGGGAAATAAAATAACCGAAACCAAAATGGGTACCGCAATGGGCACTGCCTCACAACCAAAATACAAATCTTTCTTTAAAACACGCACTAAATGCAGACGGACGTGATAATACCTTGACACATTAGCCTTCATGGACGTGATAAGAGCGGGGTAAGTGAAGAGGGACGCAGATCGGCCACTTCTCACCCAAACCTGTCTGTCCTTAGGGTGGTCTACGAACCACCCCACAGATTGTGAGGGCACCTGCATGGCCAGGTCATCCCTTCGAAGCCAGGTACTGGTTGCTGGTAAGCTGGTCTTATCCCCAGGGTGAGGAGATGCCGACACTTCATCGCTCCATACTATTCCCATTCATAATCTCCACTTCCAGGGTGCCGTAAAATGCAAGGCTGAGGTTTAGAGGATATGTCCGACTGCTCAGTCTGTTAGGCTGATGGTTCAGGTTCTCCTGATGACAAATGAAGGTGAAAATGTTCAGTCAGGACGATGATAGTGGGGTGTTTCATTGAGAAACCTTCGAATGCTGAAACCAGCTTCTCCATCATCGAGTTGAAAGGCTGGTAACGTGATCCTGGTGAAGATGAACAACGTCGGTCGTCTGCGTATGACGATGTCGGTCGTCGTACCTCATCTTGTGAATGATTCTTCGACCAGGTTCCGGTGCTTGATACGATACTGAAGGGCATGCCGGAGTAGTTTCGATTGACTATGGCGCCGATTGGCTTCTAGTGGCTGATAGCAATCATATCGTCCTCCCAATACTCTTCAAAGCTGGTCCTCGCCGCAGCGGTTTCTGCACTTCTTCACCTACCATCGTGCAGGGGTATGATCCGGTAGATTTGCTGGTGATTCACTGCTGCACAGGTGACGTCCTTGTTGTTTCCCTTGAAATGCTGATGACCATCTCCAATTGGAAGTTTCACAAGAGGCAGGGCGTTTCATCTCACATTGGCCGGGTTGATTAGGACTTAGCTGCCAAGGGACTGCCCGCATAGCAATCGAATTGCTAAATGGCGAATATCACTGCTAATTGTTCTTTTCCCGAATATCGTTATTCGATTTTCAGCTATATTCATGAAAGGCAAAAGTGGACTACTACATCTAAGTCAGTTCCAGACATGGCAAGTGAGTGCAAAAGCTGCTTCATATACGCAAGAGAAACATGGTCTATACCATGGTCTGGTCTATACGCAAGAGAAACACAAATTAAAATTGTATCTACCTTGTGGGTAGATGGCATGACAGGGTTATAATTTCCTAATACATAATGTGATACCATTCCTCATTCCTTTCCAAAAAGAAAAAGTTACTGTCATTATTTACTTATCTTTCAGTCACTACCTGTAATTATTATTACTCTTTCCTTAGAAACATTCAAGAATTTTCCTAGGAGATGAAGGCGATGCAAACTTGGTGCTGCCATCTTCCAGCAAGGGTGTTGAGGTGCTTAATCATGGACATCATATGGAATAGTACTTGGAGTTTGTGGATGTTGTTGAAATGAGAGCCAAGGGGGGGTGCAGGGCACTCAATTTTCATCCATCTGCAACTATCATATTTTCTGAAATTGCAAGGAATTATTAGGATTTTGCTATAACAGTATCACTGCAATTTCTTCTGAAATTTGAACTATGTTACTGCCTCTCATCATGTCTTGGTTAAAGAACTCATTAGTCTATTGTTTTTGACTAGGTCTTTACTGCTACATATTCCTGCACAACTTAGCATGTTAATGACATACTCATGAGGATTGAATGAATTTCAAGGAAGATTCAATGTGTGGCACAAGCTTATCCACCTTAGCTCTAAGTATTCATGAAGGTAATTTTCCTGTGCTTATTGTCCCTTTTCATTAGTTTCAGTATTGCTCCAGCCCTTATCCCATCCCGTGTACCAGGTATCATAATGGGTTCAAGTGGGAATCCATTCCCCATTCCTTATGACAGAGACCTGGTGGCTCTTGTTAGAAAATGCTTATCTTTAAAAGAGGTTCACCTCCCAGACATCCTTGCAATGGGAAGTCAATAAAATATTTAGAAACTCATGTTAGATCCTCACATTACACCACAGTTAACTTGCTTAGGGTACATCTCCCCCAATGCAAACTTAGATTATCTGAGGCAGACATGTGCCT